CCCCACCCCCACATCGATTGCACAAAAAGGAGCTACATCCACCACAATTTAAATCAAACAACTATACTATCTTCTCCTTTCATTTTTCATTTCCACCTCACCCTTCAATTGACCCACATATGCGTAATTCTAATTCATTTTGTACAAAATACTATATAGGAACTAAGGAAGGATGTGTTAAAATAATGTTAAACCTTACAAGTACAAATTAGTCATTAGATGTGAGGTTTGAAAGATGCTGAACACCGCTATTCCCACCGTTAAAAACTCGTTACGTCCATTATCTTTGGTATTGGTTGAGAGCATCCATGCGAGTGAAAAGGTTAAACCTTAAATGGATACGTTGTTCAGGGTAGTAAGTTTGGAAGGCGATCAAGATGAATCTTTGAACAACTCGACGACCACGAGTAGTTCTCAATCCTCGAGACAAAACTATCCCTACCCACAAGAAGACGAAGAATGCTTAAAGTTTTTCATGGATGAAGAAGACCTCTCCTCGTCTTCTTCCAAGCACTACTATCCCTATCAAGCCTCCACCACCACCCCAGACCTCCCTTTGGAACTCTCCGGCAAGTGGGCCCACGACATCCTGGTGGAGACCGCACGAGCCATCGGCGACAAGAACACCACGCGCCTCCAACAACTGATGTGGATGCTAAACGAGTTGGCCTCCCCCTACGGCGACACCGACCAGAAACTGGCCTCGTACTTCCTCCAAGCCGTGTTCAGCCGCGTCACCCAAGCCGGAGAGCGAACCTACCGAACCCTAGCTTCGGCGTCGGAGAAAACATGCTCGTTCGAATCGACGCGGAGGACGGTGCTGAAGTTCCAAGAGGTGAGTCCCTGGACGACGTTCGGCCACGTGGCGTCCAATGGCGCCATCCTGGAAGCGTTGGAAGGCGAGCCAAAGCTTCACATAGTTGACATCAGCAACACCTATTGCACTCAATGGCCCACACTCTTCGAAGCCTTAGCAACTCGAAACGACGACACTCCGCACCTCCGTTTAACCTCCCTCGTCACCACCACCGGAACCTCCCTATCCCTAATGAACGAAATCTCCGCCAGAATGGAGAGATTCGCCAGACTCATGGGCGTGCCGTTCAAATTCAACGTCGTTCACCACCAAGGTAAACTCTCCGAGTTCGATTTTAGCGAGTTGGATATCAAAGAGGACGAGGCTTTGGCGATAAACTGCGTCAACACGTTGCACTCGATCGCCGCCGTCGGGGACCACCGCGACAGGGTGATAGCCTCCTTGCGGAGGCTGCAACCGAGGATCGTGACGGTGGTGGAGGAGGAGGCGGACTTGGACGTGGGATTGGAGGGGTTTGAGTTTGTGAAAGGGTTTGAAGAGTGTTTGAGGTGGTTTAGGGTTTACTTTGAAGCGTTGGATGAGAGTTTTCCGCGGACGAGCAACGAGAGGCTGATGCTGGAGCGGGCGGCGGGGAGGGCGGTGGTGGACTTGGTGGCGTGCGCGGCGGCGGAGTCGGTGGAGCGGCGGGAGAGGGCGGCGCGGTGGACGCAAAGGATGCATGGAGGAGGGTTGAGTACGGTGGCGTTTAGTGAGGAGGTTTGTGATGATGTTAGGGCGTTGTTGAGGAGGTATAAGGAGGGTTGGGCGATGACACAGTGCTCCGACGCCGGAATATTCTTGTCGTGGAAGGAGCAGGCGGTGGTGTGGGCCAGTGCATGGAGGCCCAATTGACGTAGTAGAGTAGAGGAGAATGACTTGACGTGAGTAATGAGTTGTGTTGAGTTGAGGGTCTGCTTCCCACGTGCTCTCTGATCTATCAGCACGTGCCCTCAGCTCTTTTTTTCTTTCTTTTAATTTCTTTTTGAAGCTGATTAATGGGGTTTTCTTGGTTCCAGTTTCGTCCGTACGTAAGACAGTGGGATTAATTGGAGGGTATGAGGATGATAGGAGGATGGGGATTTGAATGTATTATTCAAAAAGGAATCATCAACTAAATTTATTTTCATTTTCATTTTCATTTTTATTTTTTGCCTTTTCACGTGTTGTATATATTTGCCTTTATATTTCGATCAGTTTATATATGTATGTATGAATTAATTGAAAAAGGGTTTGATTTCAATTTTTCAGTGTTTTGGATTATTTTGGAGGGAAAAAAAATTCATGGATAGTATTTAGTATTTTTGCAATGATGAAAAATCATTGAATTTAGTTTTAATTATATATATATTAAAGATACATTTGCATGAGTTACCCTAGAGTTGTTATTAAGTTTTTAAAAATAGTATTATCATTCTATATCTAGTATTGAATTTGTAAGAAAAAAGGCAATACTTCATTTTTTTTTTAAATAATAGATAATATGTAAAGAAGAAATTACATTTTATTGAGTAATAATGACATTTAAAGTTTTTTTCTTTCTTTTACTTTTCAGATTAAATCTGGGACCATTTCCAGCTTTACAAAATAATCATGTGTGACCTTTTCAATAACTAGGAAAAACACTAATGAATCGTCAATGATTGTGAAGTTGTATACTCTCTCAAGTATTTGTTATTTTATTTTGGTTTTGCAAACAAATTCTTGATTTATTAGGCTAAAATATAACTAATTGTCGCTTTCCAAATTTGTAGGTTCAAGCGTATTGATTATTGACTAATTAAGTTCATGTAGGTGGTAGTTGATCATTGATATATTTATATATATGTATTATCTAAAGCTCGGTTTTGGTCCGGATTTGACCAGAGATGAGCAGCATAATTGTTTGTGCACTTAACTAATCAACAAGGCATAAAACATAATTAAGAAGGAGAATTCTCTGATAACATTGTATTTTACAATATATTTACGATCTTCAACAGTAGTTATACTTACCGTCCCTACCAAACCAATTAAATTCATATTCACAAAAAGGTCCAAAAGAAATAGGATTTGGTATTTCTGCGTAAGAAGATGATATCATCTTTAAGCATATTACGATCGAGTTTAATAAATAATAATAAGGAAAAGGCAAATGAAGGTACATATAAACAAGGTCGTTATCTAGTTTATGGGCAATAGAATCTTAGGACGGCCAACAAGTTGGGTTATTGCTTGGGAACATCATTAAAAGGTGTATAGTAATTAGTGGCCAGCACAGCATGCTGTCTTTGAAATGGTCTTGTTCATTTTTAATTTCTCTCTCTAAGTCTAAACTATACTCCTATCTATGATCTTTGTATATGGCACCTGTTTTAACTTTACCCTCTGCATGGCCCCCACAAAACCCTGAGCTCTTTCATGGAGGAAAGATAAGGGGGGACTCATAAGAGGCTCCTTTTTCCTAAGAAAGCCAATAAATTGGTAAGTACATAAACAATGAAAAGGAAATAATATGAATAGTGGGTTCATCTTTTTAGGGTTGCACATCTTGAACTTCTGATGAGACTTGCCCCCTCCACGTTAACATATATACACTCCACTCTTTTTGCATCTTTTCCTCCTTGATTTAAAAACATTTATAGCTCCTTTCTTTTGGTTTTTTATTAAAGGGAGTTTGATGCTGGCCCATACCTTCTTCTGCAGGTTTAAGCTTTTGTATCCTTTTCTATAGCAATGACAACGACAAGCTGATGCCTTTATATTTTTATGGGACCAAGTTCATGTAGAATGCTAACTCCAGTGTATTAATTTCAAACCCATAGTACTTCAGAATGTACACGATCTCTGTCTCTCCGTATTAATCCGTTTTTTTCTCCAAAATATTTCTCTTTCCGACAATAATGGAACAAAATATTTTCTCATCACATAATCTTAAAGAAAATGAAGACCAAACTTACAATTAAAATTAAATGAATTTATGGTATCTATACTATAGTCCCTCCCGAATACGAATGAAAATGAGAACCAATGGATCTATGGTAACCACATTCCCTCTCATTTTTTTTTTATTTTCCAGACACCTTTGGGCTTTTAGAGCCCACACTGGATGATACGTGTTATGCATGTTATGGCTAGCTACTTGGATCACATCATATGGGCTTCATATTGGGCCCAAACTAGGCCCTCATTACTAGTAACTTGCTACGGGTTAGACACACAAGCGTAGCTCATCAACCCTCATTATGAGAGATGGAGCAGATGGGTAAAAAAAAACTATCATTTTTTAAAAGAAATTAATTCAGCTATAGCTCGCTCATGACGCCATTAAATAACGAATTTATTACCTCCACCTCTATGCACGTAACCAAGGAAAGGAACCCGCACAAAAAAATTAAAATTATGAAGCAACATAGAGTAATAAAAGAACACACGTGAAAGAATCATTTACATAGCTAACAATTAATTACATAAGTCATGACACAACTGATCAACAATGCATTATTAGCAAAATTCCAATCAAGTGGATAATCTTTCTCGGTATACATTCGCTCCCTCGTACTAATCTCAACTTAATCCTAAATTAACGTGAGCATATTATTGAGCCACATGTTTCTATGTCCGATTCCTCAAGCAGGGAGCTTGACATGAAACAGGTCAAGATATATATTATAACCGTATACGAAATCTTTGTATATGACAATGTACAAAGAGAAGCTACATTATATGAACCCGATCCAGCCGTGAGGAAGTCTCCATTTTCTGTGCCAATAGATAGACACTCTTGACCACAATGGGAACTGAAAACTGTACTCAAGAGGCTGATCAACAGGTCCTGCCACAATCAAAGGCAACCATACATACCTCGAGTCTCGTAAGTCAGCCGGATTCCACCGATCCGCCATGAAAATAAATGAGCCTGGGAAGCCAGGTAAAGGAAGAACAAAAGTGCTCTGAGCAAAGAAGGTTGTAAGCCTAAACACTTTGTTCCCTCCAATGCATGGATTTCCAATTGTTTCCCAAGGCCCCAAAATAGACTCAGCTGCATGAGCCAGTGCCTCATTTGGTGCCCATCCTGTGCAGCCTGATGTGATCATGTAATATGTGCCCTGATGCTTGAACAATGCTGGAGCTTCTCTGTGCTGTCCCACAAGAATCCTTCTCATTACAGATGTCACGTTGAGATAATCTTCGGTAAGGGGTCCAATGTGTAGTTCACTATTGTCTTCGGAGGAGTAGATTAGATATGCTACACCATCCTCGTCTTTGAAAACTGTCATATCCCTGCTTTCACATCCATGGGGTCTTTGGCTACCAAGATAATCAAAAGGTCCATCAGGTGTGTCACTGGTTGCTACTCCAACAGCTGCTTTGGTATAGTTGGCATCATCAACATGCATCCACATCACATACTTTCCGGTCCTCTCATTGTATATCACTTTTGGCCTCTCAAGCACATTAGACTTGTGCAAATCATGGGTTTCATTTGTTTCCTCTGCTGCCAATACAATCCCCTCATGTTTCCAGGTCCACAAATCCTTAGAAGAATAGCAACCAACTCCAATAATGTCCACCTGGTGGAAAGAGAGATAACAATTTGAGTTTGGAGACAAAGTTATGCATCTAACTAAATTTGCAAGGTTGGTTGAAAAATATAAATTAAAGGAAAAAGCATTCCTTTGTAGCCACTGGAACGTGAGGTTATAACAGCAAGATAATTGGCTTATAACATTGTACAAAGCCACAACTTTAACCAAAAGAGTATGAAGAATTGTTATTTTAAAATATGCATTTAAAGAACAAACTAATTTATTAAAACAAGTTTACTTTTCATAAAATTGACGGAGAAAAAGGAAAGGTGCAGATAAAAACAAAACATCTTGTGGTGCTAACAATCATTCATATCAGTATCTATTTGGGCATCGATGCAAAAGCATTCTACATGCAAACCCACCAGTGATACAGTACTTTGCCCAAGTTATTCGGAAACAGATACAGAAGTTTTTCTTCAGCCACTCCACTTGCGAACTTGGTAGCTAACCCTATGTGTATGTCAATTAAGATGATGAATTGAGTCATTTGAAAGAAATTTCTCTAACTTTAGCATCACTTAAAGTCTTACCAACTGGAAGAGTTAAGGGACGCCATGTGGAAGGTATATAGTCAGGGTAATTTCATTTCTTTGTTTTTGAATACAGCCAGGAGCCATGTAAATTTCTCTGACTCAATAACTAGAAGAAATTGGACTATTTAGGTGAAACATTTTTCTAGGACTACCAAGTTGCAGAAAAAAAACATCATAAATCTTCTTGTTCAGTGATAACACCTTATAATCAGTAGATTTGAGAGGTTTTCAACAAATAACGATTGGATTTCTAAGCAGTGGAAGGGTGAACAAGGCAATGAACTTGTGCAATTTCAGTCGCAGCAGAAGGTTTCATTTTCTTTGTAAGGTAACACCAAGAATTATTACTTCACACTTTATTCTATAAAGTGCATCTTAATGAATCCAAATTCATTAATGCTTATATCAGTTAAAATTACCTTTTTTAATAAAAAAATACAATTATTAATATCTTTGTGTTTTCATTTGATCCAAATTAGCAATACTCCTTACATTTGTTTATATCTCCATCTGTGCAAATGGAAGGTCAATTAATATTATATAACCCTTTTTCATAGACAAATAAGCATATGGAAAATTTATGCCAATTTTAGCATATTAAGAACAATGAGACCTTTGAAATATGTAACACTTCTCTTTCAAAGACTTCAGCTATTAAGGATGATATTAAGAATGTTCAGAACTTCAAAGATACAGAAGTTGCTTAAAAATAGACTCGAAGCATACGGTACCTTAAACAATAATTTAACACAAATTAAATTCATCTCTAAATAAGCTACTGAAGGAGAAGAAGGATCGATGTATATATTAGAATCAAACACGCATCTCTAATCTCTAATAAGCAGAATATGAAACCATGTAAACAACCAATAAATTATAATTATAATAGGGAAAATCAAAGCTACATAAAATCCTACAGCCATGAGGACAGTTATTAACTAACAAACAAAAACAAGGGTTCTCTTGAAAAAGATGAATTACCCGGGCAGCTCCTTTGTTGTGAACTTGGTAGGTAGGCCCATCTTTAAATTCACCATACCAATAGTATGTTCTTGAATTTTTATCATATAGAATGCCCCCTCCATGGGCTTGAATAGGATTTCCATCAGTATCCAACCAAATTCTCCCAGGGTAGTAGTAAAATGTTTCATTTGCAGCAGTCTGCATTGGATCTATAGCTCTTTTATGACCAGGAAAAAACACGTGCCTCAGTTGGGAATTTTCATCCAAGAATTCATCAATCAATGTGGTTTTCTTTTTAGGTCTGCGTTTCGCTGCCCGGGGGGACCTCTTTCCCCTTGGTGGGGGGATTTGAATGTTCTCCTCTTCCACTTCTTGAAGCTCCCGGAATTGGGGATGACGACTCAAGCGCAATTGAGAGTCTCCACCATTTCTATCTTTGTAGTGTATATAGCTATATAAATTAAGCAAAAATAGGCATCCTAACAAGCTGAACACCACAGCAGAAGTTGAACATCTGCTCCCTGCATTGCATCGTAAACTGGTTGGTTTCCTGCATTTGTTCCTCATCCTCATTTTCCCTTCCTTTTTATCTTCAAGATAATGCTGCAATTAACAAAGTGCAACCTATGGAAACCTGATAACGTGACCAAATAGAAGTCACACTCACAAACATGACTTCCCCACACGCGAAGAATTTCATAAATCAAAATCAGCTTAAAACGAAACTGCAAATGATGACACCGAATATTGCCTAATCGGCTTTATCACTTAATCCCCTTCAGTTTCATGAATTTCTCACATAATGTAATCACAAAATTAAAGTACAAGTGCAAGCAGTTTCAATGATTGATTAGTTGTAATAAATTACCCTCTCTTCCAGGTTTGTTAGAAGTAATTGAAACCGCTATCTTTACCCTACTTCGTATCTAAATATTAATAACTAGCACAAATTCTTCCTTCTTCTTCATAGTTCAACCCTCATGTGTCAGATCCATTAAAAAGAACAAAAACCTAATATATGCATAACGAAAACAAGAGAATAATAATTAATAACATCGGAACAAAGGCAAGTGTTACAAAAGTAAAGAGGCTCACCTGGTACCAGCCGAACGGTGGAATGAAGAAAACTCCCCGACATGCGGTTTCGTTGGTGGGTTTTGAGGGTCACAGACACACTGGCATGACGCAACCACCGAACTAAGCTAAGTCCAAAAACGAGGTCAGAGAGAGAAAAGGCAGAAAAAAAAATTAATGAGACTATGTTGGGTAAGGGTAGTTAAGTTCCGATGCTGTTTGGATCTGAGTTTGAGGTTGATGACATTGATTTGCAACCAAAGCTGTTTTCACTGTGGCTTTTTGGTACCCACCCAGGAACAGTTCTAGAACTTCTCTTTTACCATAAATGTCCCCAAACTAGTATTCTATCCTTTAACTTATTTCATCTCTTTCTTCTTCCGTTTTTCTCCTTTCTCTCTTTCTGTTGTTTAGTTCCTTGTCTCAGATACCAACACTTTTATGCTATGTTCATAACATTTTGGTAAAGACATAATACTAGATTTTTACTGTTTCATGTCCAATGAGACCACGACAGTTAGCAACACCTCAGCATTTAAATCCACTTTATTCAATAATCCTCCGGCCAAATGGTGATAATGATTGGTCATCTAACACGACTCTTCTTTTAACGTTTTTGTGTTGTGTACATGATAAGACGATTTTCTTTCCTTCTTTATCAATTTTAATTATCCTTAGTCTAATTATAAAACCCAACTAATGTTCAATAAAACGGACTTTGGGTTGAAAATTTGTTTTTGTGATGTTGGCACGTGAAAATAGCATTAACAAAGGTGCTGGGCATTAATTAGTTGTTGAGAAAATATAAACAGATACTTGCTTTTTTATTACTCTGGTATGGGGTTTTGCTTAGATTTAGAATTAACGAAGTTTTGCAAGCGATACAAAATAAGTTTTTTAAAAAGTAAAATACAAAAGGTGAAACGATCTATAACTGGATTTTGTTTTTCGGAGGGAAGACCGTAAATTCAATGATGCTGGTGATTAGTCTAAATTTCTTGCGAGAGTACTGTAATACGTTCATTAGGAAAGTGTTAGTAATAAATAATTCATTACCAGAAAGTCACAGTACATATACAACCAATTTTAGTAATGTCTCATTCTCGCAATGAGAAATGTATGCTTGTCACATGATGACATTTCAGTATGGGTTGGAACAAACCACATTCCATGTGCAATGGTGAAATTCACTTGAGTTGTTAATTATTCTTTAGAAACATTAAGAGTCTTTTGTTGTGCTTTTCTGATATGTATTTGACTTTATCTCATCCATCTAATCTCATTAATTCGATATGAATCCCTTCTTATTTGGATTAAGGTCTAATTGATCGAGTTACCAATAATATAATTAGTATATTTCCTAAACTTAGGAGAAATAAAAATGAACAATTAATCATTTCTTGACATAAGAGTTTTCCTAAAAATTTCAGAATGGTAATGTATGAGTACACCTGTATAAAAACTAAATTGCATGATGCAAAAGTTATGATCAGAATTTTACAGTGTTGCGGATGAATATGAATCCTCTCTAGTAAGTAGTAACATCTCCACCCTCTCTCCGTACTTTATGTGTGTTTACATTCGCGTTTAAAACGTAAAAAATCATATTTAACATGGAAGCTATTATTTATTACTTTCAGTTAAACATGATTTTTTATGTTTTAAATGAATGCAAACACATATTCTATCTCTTTCTAAATTTTATTTCTTTCTCCATTACTTTTCATTTTTTTTAATATATTTGTATTTTTGTGCGAAAGAGATAACATAATGTAAGAGATGATTTAATTTTGTTTTCCATTTTAAAATAATTGTTAATCATTTAAAGTCGATGTCAACCTAATAGTAAGACTTCTAAAGTTAAGTTTTGAGCTCACTCAAAAAAAATATATTTTATATTCAATTTTATATAATAAAAAAGTCTCGTTTTCTATTGCTGATAAAAAGACTTCTATATTAATAAGAAAATCTAACATATAATTTTTTCTCATTTAAAAAAAAAAAACAATTTCTAAAATTTATTTTAAGTTTCACTAAAAACAAAGCAATAATATGGAGAGGAAAATTCCTTTCAATAAAATAATGAAAATCGCTTGTGGTTCAATCAAAACGTTATTATATTTTATTTTTTGGTTTAAATATATTTTTAGTTCATATAAAATTAACAAATTTAGGATTTAGTCCATGTTATTATATAATTATTTTTATTTATTTATTTATTAAAATATTAGATGTTCCCTACCACTAGTAGTATGTGATATCCTTAAAAAAAATAATAAACTTAAAATAAATATTATTCATCTACTTTAAAATTATTGTTAGAAACAAAAAATAATAATTTAATATTTTAGGGTATAAAAATTAAAAAAAAAAATATAGGGTTAAAATCATAATGTGTTCATTTGCAAACAAAAACATTGTTTTTAAATTTTAAAAGTAATATATATACACCAAAATCAAAACTTGTTTGTTTACTTTGTGAAGATAGTTTAATAAGATTGAAGTTATGAATAATGTTTGTCGACCGACCAAAACTCTCATTAGGAATGCTAATATATCTTGAGAATTTATTAACTTAGTAACAAGCTGTTTTCGGAAGAATAGTTTATGAGACAATGGGTTAATTGCGTTTTTTTATTTATATATGATGATTTTGTAAATTTTGTTATTTAACTTTTGGAATCATATATTTTATTACTCAGTTTTAAAAATTTTGCATATCATTTTATTAATTGATTGTTTGACATCATTAATTAATTATCATGTGGTACATTAAATGACATTATGACACTTTATATCACATTATCATTTGTATTCACGTTAAAAATTTATATTAACCGTTAACTTAATTTGTCAAAATTCAAAATACCACAATAATATGATATCAAAGAGTCAATAGTGTGATAAAAAGTGCAAAAAATTTTAAAAATTGAGTAACAACGTTTATAAAATTATAAAATATGAGTGACAAAAAGTGTAATTAAACTTAAAATAATTAGAAATTGAAATCTTATTTTTATTTAAGTGTTGTTAAATCAATTTATATTTGATTAAAATTAGTTGTTGAACCGTGTATTTCATTTTATACTTTGTTAATTATTCTTCGAAGACATTAAGAAGTTTGTTGTTAATTTTTATGTCTTTTGTATAAATATATTAATTCTATTGATAACATTCTCTACTAAGAAATTTGACTCATTACACTTTTAATAAAGTCTTCATTCCTAATCACATTTTTTATCCATAAGATTTGAACTTACTTCTACCTAAACTAACATCTTGTATATAGTTTTTCCTAATCACATTTTTTATCCATAAGATTTGAACTTAGTTCTACCTAAACTAACATCTTGTATATAGTTTTTGTTTTAATTATAATACCTTCCGATCAAGATATTTTGATTTCTTTTTTTCTTTTTGTATAGACCAAATATATTTTTCACAACAAGATTATTACAGGTGACAAAACTTATAAGTTGACCAATGCTTATAAACTATACGCTAACAATTAAAAAAAGATGAAAACTTAAAAACTAATTGATTAAGCTAAAAGTATTTGGTGAAATTAATTAATAAGTTAATTAATAAATATTAATTAAATAACATAAAAAATACATATTGTTTGAAGTTATTTATTTTTATTAGCATATCATCTTCAAAATTAGCACAAATTTAATATATATATATATATATATA